AGTTAAATTATCCTTGATCTTGTGGTTAAATAATTGGTACTGTCTTGGTTGCTAGCTATTCAAGATAGTGTGGTTACATTTCTGGTGTCTGTGGTGCCTTTCATTGCTTTGTTTTCAGGATACTGTGGTCAATTACTGAATCTCATGCTGCTTTACTTGCCTGCTACTATGAAACCTCATTTTAGCATTTTCTAACATATTTATCCTGAGGAGTATGTCCTGAGTAGTCTGTTCAGAAAGCACTCATGTGGAAGTGGTGAGTATTAGAACTGTGGCAAATATGGCCATTTTGATGTAGCCTAGGTAAAACTTAATCTCTTGTTTTGGTCTGAGCAGGCTCAAGGTTCCTGGCCCAAATTTGATTCAGTGCTCAGAGTTAAAAATAAAAACAGGTAAATTAATCAAATAAACAAAATTCTTCTGAACCCACAAAGTCTTGAGTGGTTTCAACCGGTCTTGTCTTTCTACTTTCGTTATTCCTCCTATCTTTTCACTCAACTCCCTTCTTCCAAACTTAGTATCTTCTTTGCCCAGAAAATTGCTCCTTTGCTCTCTTCTCTAGTTTTTTAACCCCATCTCAGTCTTTTGTCACTTTTTCACTACCTGCTTAGAGCCCCCATCCATACCCTCACCAACAAGGATGTCCCACCCATGGCCCACTCATGGAAGGGGGAGATGGAGTTAGGAGCAGAGAAACAGCCAAGAGCTATTCGGCATCCAATGCAAGTGCCAGCAACAGTTGGAAAAGTGGCAGCTTGGAGAGAGATAGAATCATGCGGAAGGAAAGAAGAATCAGGAGACGGGCTCTATAGCGGCGGCTAGGGAAGGATGAGGGCCACTGGGACCTATGGATTAATAAAGAGACATAAAATGTAGCTTGAGGTGGATCCAAGACAGCAAAGGATTTGAACCAGATGGAAGGACAAATATGTAATTAGTGTAGGTGGAAGCTGAAGGGGAGGGAATGAAGAATCACTAGGACCCAGAAAGAAGCATACACTTGGTAATTTGGTGAAGCAGGAGAAGGAAAGTTTATTGTTTTCAGCCACGAATAAGGGTAAGAGGACTTTTGCCCTTTAAAAGTGAACCTCCCAGATCACTGAGAGACAGCACAGGGAAGGTAGTTTTGCCAGTGTTACCTGATACACAGTTGAGAAAATTCAAATGCCAGTACTTCTAATTAGGCATACTTCACCCACCATTCAAATTAGTGCATTGTAAAGGTTATAAATTCACTATCATTTCTAAAGGATGCAAAACTATTAGAATGTTAGCTGTGCAATGAATTAATTCATCTGAAGCAGAATTGAAAAGGAAAGTGAGGGAAGTAGATGACATATCATAGGTCTCTTAAAAATGGAGCGTTCTAACACTAAGCATTTTGGTCCTGATCCTGAACACTTTACATGTACAGGAAGTTCAATTGATTTCATTGACCCCTAAAGATCAGCAGTAAATTTGATTCTGCTACCTTCATTTATGCTGTAAGATTTTTTACGTGAACAAGGAAGACAGAATCAGGTCCTTACTGACGAGCACACGACCACCCTATTTGCATGTTTTTCTGTAGTGGGAATGCTGTGAACATTTTACACAGCTTTGAGAAGGTGGTAAACAACAAATAATTTGTGTGGAGTTAAGATGACAAGTGACAGAGATTGAGGAAGAGCTTATTTAGCGATTCTGCATTCTCTCATCTCTACTGTTGCAAAGCAGTAAAAGTATGGCTATTTTTAAAGTGAGTAAGGATAGAACTGAAATAATGCTTATCATATAGGCATACTTTTTAAAATTTATTCAAATTTTCTTTTACCCTAATTGCCCCTGTATAAAGCCAAATCATTGCTCATATGAATATCCCCAATAATTTTGATCAGAGTTTTGCCAGAAAAAAAGAGGTGTACTGGATAATTCCTTTCTAAGCAGAAGCATTATGAAGCATTAACCACTGGTGAAAAATGTATCAACATTCCAAAGAAACCATGGGTTATTACAGCCATTTCTTGAACTGATGAAAGGCTCTGGAGTCAACCCTGATGTTTCATTAAATAAATGCACATATAAAACACTCCAGGAGCATATTGATCTAATCAATAACCCTCCCCTCTCCCCCCATCTTATCCCTAATTATCAGCTATTGTTCCCTGGGACAAATCACTAGTAGAGAATGGTGGAGACTCCTCTGCTGGTGAAGACTGGCAGAATTTTGTGCAACTGATATCTGCCAGTGTCCATCAGCAGAGAATTAACCTCACGCTCTATATCTGTCATAATACCAAAGGCAGAGCTTCATTAATTGTGCTTTGTATCTTATACCCTACTTCCATACCAAAGCTATGTGTATACAAGTTATGAAGTTCAATCATACTAAGAAAATAAAAGATGCTGCAATTTTTATGTCAATATAAATCTCATTAAGGCAGAAAATGTTGGAGAGAAAAAAACTAGGGAGCTCTGCTCTTTTAAGAAACAACATGCTGTGTTTCTTATACATTGTCTTATAGTCTAAACAAATCAAAGAACGGTACTAATCTAATAAGGCTTGATTTAAATACAATTGTTAAAATATCATGTCATAATTGGCTGTGATATACAAAACCATTGTTTGGAAATGTAGCAGCTTACTAGTTTTGAAACTACAAATGCCAACAAAAATGAACTACTATCGCAAGGTTACTTTTTTACTGCTTTAATTATCTGGCTTCAGTAGGAAAGAAAAAAATAATGTCTAAGGATTTTTTGTTGTAAATCTCAGATATTATCATAGCTATCCACTGCTACACCAAGTGGTGAAGCCACAAATGTGCAGGAGACCCCGCTGAGAGAAACTAAATGTATGCATTACCCCAGCACTCAATCTGGTCCTTTATTCCTCACTTGGGCAAAAATATTGTGGCTTCTCATGGGAGTTTTGCCTGAGTAGAGTGCAGAAATGGGTACCACTGGGTTAAATTTTATTCAACTTTCTCACACAAGTAGCCCCACTGAACTTACTGAGACCCCATACAGATGCGTGGATTTTGGCCAAGGTGATATGATTTCAGTTCATGTTCTTTAAGAAAAAAGCCTGTAAACTAAGTAGCATTTTCTTTAATGGATATTATAAATGCATGTCTGAGTAAGCATTGTAGTAGATTTTTTCTAATTCATGCCAAAAATAAGAGAGATCCATTGTGAATGAATGCATAATTCAGATTAGCAAGTTATAGTCTAGACTTGCTACTCCTACTCATGTGTGCAGTCCCATTGATTTCAGTGGGACCCGTTGTTTTATAGTTGCCTTTATCACTGTAAACATGGTTGATGAAGATGCACATGAGAGTTAGCCCAAAGGCAAGACTCCCTCTTTTTTACTCCCACTGTATAATTTATTACTCCACAGAGTCACACTGAAAGTAAAGGGACTGCTCAAAGAGCAGGATAGTATTCAGTGGGAGTTCAGGTGGCAGAATATTAATAGTGAAAAAACGAAGGTACATCACAAAGTGTATGATGGTCCTTTATTTTCACCATAGCAATTCTGTTTAGGAATTATTCTCATATTCTCTTATTTCCTGATAAATTCAAAGTAGCTAAGACTGAAATTATTTCACTGACTGTGGACTTCTCTATGGCATAAGTTACTAAACTTTTGCTTGGAGGTAAGAAAAGCCACCAAATTCTGCATGAAATATAAAGGCAAGGAGGGGATAAAGAAAGGAGCCACAAATAAACAAATGTAGCTAAAAAAACCAAACACACTGATAGTTTTGTATGCACTCAATAAATAGCAACATCTAATTATTTGAAAGACAATCTGAAATACTTAACGAATTAAGCTAATTGTTTGTATTTGTGGCTTCACTCTTGCTTTCAAGGGAAACATGTAAAGGACAGAGACATTTCAGGCATTCAGCCTTTTCAGTGCTGAATGTTGCTCCCTTGCCACAGCTCTGTCTATTCATTATGAAAAGCAGCTGTATTTGGAATTGATAATAGTGCCTCACAGCATGAACATCAATATATTCCATAGCAAAGTAAGGCATACTCTAGCTCTTCCTCTTTTACCATCACTCTGCTGTATAGCATTTGTACCTCTTAAGTTGAGATCTGAAGGGGCTGAAAGAGGGCTGATGACTTACACTATTACTTTATAGTTTATCACACAGGAGAAATGAAAACAGACCTGGTTTTGTTGGACTTCTGAATATCCAAGCAGAAGGGAGGAGAAAGAAAGATGAATTTACAACCAAATCAGGCTTCCATCTTATTTCCGTAACCTTTTTCCCCCTTCTATTCAAATTCCAGTCCCCACCAGTCTCTAAGGATGTTTTTCTCTTCCCCAGTCCCCAACCTGAATATAACCAGAGAAAAGTACCATTCTGGACTGCCCCAGACTACAGTGTGGGAACTCTCTTTTGGATGCCAGATAATTATGCCCAAGCATTTTACTAAAGTATTGGTATATAGCAAACCTTCTGATCCTTGTTCTTACACTTTCACCCAAGATTATTTCAGCTGTGTTTTTATGAGGGATTTTGCTTCATCTTCATATTATCACAAATTTTTCCACTTTGTGTCTGATTTGCATCATCTAATCCAACACACATTACTTACTGTGCCAAACAAAGAGCCAGCAACATAATCCTTTATGGCTTAGTATTATTTGTTGCTTTATTTCCAACAGTCTTTCTGATAGGTTCCAGCAAAGAAATGCTCAAAATAATAATGACCAATAATTACTGCATTCCTTAGTCAATTTTGGATACTTTTAAGAGAAACAAAAGGTTCAAAATCTTACCAACTTGATTTCTTTACCTATTCCTTTGGAAATAGCATGCAGTCTCAGAGAACTTCCAATGAAGTGAATTAATTTCATTTTGAAAGAAAAAGTCTATAAAGAGGAGAGTTTAAAGTCTCACTCTTTTTATACAGTAAAGATGAACATTAGACCAAAGGGAAGCAGATGTGAGAGACAGATAGACAGACAGACAGATATATGTATATGAATTGTGTCCTACCTCTCCTTGCCGGTGATAGTGCTTTGGAGGTTTTCCCATCTGCTCTAGGATTTTTCCTTTCTTAGTGCTACCAAGTGTCAGTCCCCGGTGGATGCCTGCAGATCTGTTGGTTGCCTGTGTTGGAGCCTCCCCCATCAGGGTGGATTTGATGGAGTTCACCTTAGAGCTGGAGCTGTCTAGCTGGGAGCTCTCCACCATCAGGACCGCGGCTAGTAAGAGGAGACAGCAGGAGCACTTATTCCACATCAGCACGATCATCTCCCCCCACCCCAAAAAGGGATTTTTTTAAATAAAAAAATCAAACAAAATAAAGCAACAAGAGATAAAAAAAGGAAAAAAAAATGTTTATCCTACAGTTGTTAACAAAACAATTCAATAGATTTCAATGCCACACGCTCAAGAAACTGCTGTGGTAGGAGAGACCAGGAAAAACGAATCCCCTGAAAAAATGGTATAAAGTCTCTAGGCAACAAGCAACTATCAGATCATGTGAAGTGATGGCTTTTTCCTTCAGATTCTTGAGAAGTGCAGGAAATTCTTTAGTGACTGGGAGCAATAAACTATGAAGCAACTGCACCCAGGGAAGCTTCCCACTAGTGGAATCACCCAGCAGGTTTGCTTAAGCTTCAGAGGAAGAGTCAGTTACTTATTTCCCTCCACTCCTCTCTTGCTACACAAGTCAGCAGGGAGAAAACTCAAACCAGATCCAATCCAGGCAGCACCGACAAGGGCTGGGCTTAGTTGTGTTTCTCTCTCTCTCTCTACTTTTTATTCCCCTCCTTCTTTTTTCTTTCTTAAGCCTCAGCCTCTGTAGCCAGTGTTTGTGAAAGAACACGTTCGCCTTCTCCTCCTCCAAACTAGTTGGTGCTGGGGTGAGGGGCTCCAGGCGTTCGGCTCTATATCTGGAGTCAGGATCACACAGGCAGGAACAGACAGACAGACATCTAGGCAATCTCACAGTGTTCTTTAGCACAGATCTACACACCCACTCGCACGCACACACACACATACACACACTGCTCTCTGACAGTCTCTTGCCTGCTCTGGTCTCTCTCTGCCCCCTTTACTTTTTATAGCTTTCCACAATGGATTTCTCTTTCCTCCGCCCCCAATTCAGAGGAGTGACAAAGAGTGAAACTGACTCTCTTCTCCCCCACCCCCTCTACCCTACACCCACCTCTCCAGTTGCGGCTCTTTCTTCCCTCTTAGGCTCGGAGACAGGAGATGGAGCCCCTGTGTTTTGTAGCATAGGAGACTGTGTTTTTTGTGTCTGTTCAAGCTCCCCTGAGCAATCAGAACACCTCTTAGGCATAGAAACATCCTTAGGTTTGAAAGAGTCAGCATACTTTAGGCATACACCCTTACTCATTAGTGTATTATCTGGGTTGTGCCTAAAAACTGGGTCTTGAGAGAAAGGTACAAATCCTGCTTGATCCTGCCAGTCTTTGTGCACAAGCCGCCCTTCCCCACAAATCCTACTACCTAAAATAGGAAATGGCCAACCCCTACTAGTGCACCAAAAATTCCTAAATATGCAATGCCTTGGCAACGCAGATCTGCAAAAATATAAATCTGGAACACAAATCCTCCCGTGTCCTGCCAATTTTTGTCCTTGAGCATCTTAACTCCTGTCTAAATAAACAACATACCCCATTGGTAACAGTGTGCCAAAAAGTATAGCAACCTCTGTGCCACAATGCCACACACAGCTGGATACAAGAACATGGATCATGGTTACTTTTTGCACCCAGCTCCCTAAATTTCACAGCACAGAGTACATCCATCTGTTACAAGCATGACAAAGGATTCCAGAACATGGCACGGCTCAGGACCACAGCAGCACAAACTACTAGATCCATGCAATAGGCAGTAAAATACAGGGGAGACAAAATTAGTTAGTTAAACCCAGCTGTTACCTTTTTCCTTTTTTCTGAAAAAGATTCACTACCCCAGGCATTGCACTGGGGCATGCTTGTGGAACAATGGACTACTTACTCTCTCCCTTGTCTCTCCTAGATGAGTGTGTAGGAGAAGGGAGGGGAAGAAAGACTGCTGCAGTTGTGGTGGGGGGCAGCATTTCTTGAAAGTTCCTATACAGTAAAAGCAATAAAACTTTTTGAGAGTTGAGATGTTCAGTAATTGAATTGTCATGGGGTTCTTTTCCCTCCACAGAGCTTCTCATCTGCACTAGAATTGATACTTTTCACTTTACTCTCTTTACCTGGAGAGACTCAAGAGGAGGGAATTAATGAAACTTCATTTCCCTTCTGACTGTTAAATTAGCAGTTGTATGAGAGGAAGTTGCTAAGGCAGAGAAGGGGAGGGAGGGGGAGAGCCCCCTGAGCCAGCATCATTTATTTTTGCACTTCCTTGAGCTTTCTTGCCTGGTTGCAGGGCAGGAGCTAGGTCTTTTTTAAGGAGATAAGGAGCTGTCTCCAGGAGTCACTTTACCTAAAACAATGTCATTTAAAAAGATTGGGGTGGGGGCAATCTTGCTGCCAACATGGCTCAATTTATGATTTACAGAAAGAGCTTCTCATTATAGAGAAATAAACCTACAAAAACCTCAGGTCTTGGATGCTGTTTTGTGTAAATCTCTTTATTTTCCCTATATCTAAAGAGCTTGGTGGCTGTAATACTCATTTTTAATATGAATAGATTTGAAATTGTTTTCATTTCTCAGAAACAACTGAGCAGAATAACGATAAAAACTGGATCTTACATTTTTGGGGTCCTTAAATAAATAGTTTTCCTTCCCCAAGCCTTTGAGTGGGGAGGAATGACAGGGAAATGAAACTTTATTGACAATCTGAATCAGTTTTCCTTGGTAACAGTATTTGCCATTCAGCCCCCTTATTCAGCCTTGGTTAGGAAAATGAAAAGTGATTATTGCACTTACATCTGCTTATAATTTTGGGAAGTATTTATATAGGAAAGTTCTTAGCTGTCAAGAAGGGAAGTGCTTTGTGATTTTTATTGAGAGGATCAGATCAATCTTTGTTTGTTTGTTCATTTGTTTTTATTTTGTTTGCACACCTTTCCCTCATGTGATCTCATTAATCAAAAACCTGAAGCGAAAGCTCCTGCAGTGAGTGATCACAGCCACAGCAAAACTCTTCTCACCAGCAGGAAACTCATTAGATTAACATGCACATGAGGCATTTGCCTATAACATGAGAGGACTGGAAGTTGTCTGGTGATTCTTTAAGTTGTTTAAATATTCCTTCTCTATTAAAGAAAGGACTTTAAAGATTGATACCACGCACAGAGAGAAAACCTTAAAATCAGAGCCATGGAGCATACTGTCACGTCTACCATATACAAACCACATGCATACAGGTAATCACAAAGAAACACAAAAAATTATACACATTCACTACCTAAGCATAATCACTCTGAGATGAGACACAGAAATACATCCTTGCACCCAAAAGCATCTCCTTGTTTTATCATCACAATGGAGGAATTCTGCTTTTCTTTTTTGCAGTCAGAAGCGTTCTCAAAGGTTTTTGTTACTTGGGCAGTGGTTAAAGGGATGGCAGAAAACAAGTATAATTTAAGTCAGACTTCTTTCCAGTTTCCTCCATGCAGCCTTCCCTCCTTAGCCTTGGTTAGATGGAGACAAAGTGACAAAGCCATAAAGTGGCTGTAAAGTTTGAGAAGTGTTGTGCTTAAATGGGTTACCATCCCACCATAAGGCAGTGCAGTGTAGCACCTTATAGACTGACTCTTTCAGAGAAGCAGGAGCTTTCAGAGGCTGCAGTTTACTTTGTCAGATGCTATGAAAGGGTTAGGGGTAATAAATAGAAAGTAATTAAGTCATTTAAATACAAAGGATAGAGAAAGAAGGAGAAAAAGGAAGGGATGCTGCTAAGAGAGGAAAAGGTAAGTTGAAAGGATCCAAGAGGACAGAGTAGTTAACCCACTGATGGACATAGAGGTCTAAAAATCTAGTCCAGGTAATGGGATAGGAATCCATTTGCAAAGTACCTTCTCTGTTTAAGAACTCATCAACAGGAACAGACATGGGGCAGATCCAAACTGAGTTTGTAGTAAACTAAACACAGAAGCAGATTTAGACTTTTTAGGGCCTAGGACAAGAAGATGATTGGGGAACTTTTTTTTTTTTTAATTTTCCATATTCCAAGCCACATTAGCCAAAACAAATTCCAAATCCGAGAGTCAGTCCAAAACCATAAGTGGCCCTACTACTAGCCCCATCTGGGGCTTCAGCTGTTTCCAAAACATTTGGCAGACATCCTACTTGCAGGCCCGGGCCCAGAGGCTTGGGGTTTGAATGACCCCAAGTTTTGCTTGCCTTCAGCCATAAGGTCCTAGGGGCAAACCAGGGAGAGGTCTCCCATTTTCAGAAAGTGGACATAAAATCAAGGCTTTCCCACTCTAGCAGCTAAGTAGGAGGTTTATTGTACATTACCTTGGCAGGTACTATCCCCATGCCAGGAGAGTAGTCTTCCCCAGGAGCAACTAAGAAGACTGCCTCAGTGGTCACAATGTTTCTCTTGCCAGACAAGCATAGGACTACATTTGATCTGAGCCAACAAGAGAAGATGATTGGGGAACTTAAGCTACAATAGAAGAAAGAACCACTTCTCTTCCAGGTACTGGTGCTGCAGGGGTATGAGACCCAGTTCTCGCTTACTCGCTGGTGAGTTACAGTGAGTAATATACAGGCAGTCCTTGACTTACAACGTTTCAAGTTACAATGAATGGCACTTACAACGTTTCTAAACTGACACCCTGTCTTGACTTTCTGACATCAGTTTCAACTTCATGTTTGATCCAATGCCACACCATGCCACACCATGCCATGTGAGCAAACAAGTTCGCTGTATCGCCCATCTTCCTGGAGAACTTCTGTCCAAACTTCCTTGGACACTTTCTTTAAGAAAGCAGACAAGGCTCCAGAAAACCCTGCAGCCAAGACTCCTGAGAAGACTCTAGCCAAGAACCCTTTAAAAAGTTCAACCAAGAGCCCATAAAAAGTCCAACAAAGTCACCTCAAATAAGTTCTTCCAAATCAATATGATTGCTATTTACAATATAAATGCATTATATAGCTATATTACTCATCTATAATTAATTGAGTACAAAATTCTGGGGTTTTTTTGGTGGAAATAGGGTATCAGGCCTTGGTTCAGGAACCATTTCCCCATTTATAACGTTGTTTCCTATGGGAAAATCAGTTCCGAGTTACGACATTTTGACTTAAGACCTGGTTTTCAGGAACCAATTGTGTCATAAGTCCAAGGACTGCCTGTAAAGTAAACAACAAGAGGATTTATTTGCATGCTTGTTTGTATATCTCCCAGTGTGCAAATAAGCATGCAAATAAGTCTTTTTATTTGTTTTATATTGCTCACTCTAACAGAGCAGTAAGTGAATGAGAACTGGGTCAACATTGAAAAATAATTATCATATACTTGTCAACACTGAGCCCAAGCATACTTACCTAGCAGGTGAAATACTATAGAGCCTGTTGGCCTGCTTCAGTCAGTTCATGTTGTGCTTTAGGAATGCCCTGTGGAAATCCAGGATCTTCCTGATATACAGATACACAAACCTCAACCTATATATATATATATATATATATCTCGCCACTTCTATTTCCAGTGGAAGATCTTGGCTTTACACCCACTTTATGGAAATCAGAGACTCCTCCCTAGCATGCTCCTGCAGCCATATGGCTGAGGGCAAGTGAAACTCAGGGGCATCCAAACCCCAAGCCTCCGGGCTTGGGCCTGCATTTAGGATGCCCGCCAAATGATTTGGAAGCATCTGAAGCCCCAGGAGTGGGTAGAGGATGTTTGCCGGTAGTAAGGCCACATATGGTTCTTGAATGATTCATGGATTGGGAATTGATTTGGCTGATTTGGCTTGGAACATGAAACATTTTCCTTAAAAAGAAAAAAATGTAAGTATTTGGCGGCCTCCCCATTTGCCCATGTGTTAAACTGCCTATGCAGGATTTAAGTATAATGAAGTACTTAAATCATATAGAAAA